ATCCTCTCCAGCATCTATAGTCTCCTGATTTGTTCATTTTGGCCACTCTGACTGGCATGAGGTGATATCTGAGTGTGGTTTTGATTTGTATTTCCTGTTCTTGTCATTTTTGTTGTTGTTTTATTATTAGTCTATAGCAGGAGAGGGAGATAGGTTTTGATGCATAATGTTGATCTCTTTTTACTCATAAGGCCAGACCCACTGTAGATACTGTCACAGACATTGCTAGATGCTAGAAAGTATAGGAAGGACCATGAGATAGTAACAGCTGTAAAATGACCATCATTTGTGGAGCACTTACCAACTACGAGGCACCAGGCTAGGAGCTTTCCACACATTATCTCTCTTCATCCTCACAGCCATCCTTTGCAGGAGGTATTTTGATTGATGAGGGGGGCCTAGTCTTACAGAGATAAATAAAACTAGATCAAACTCACACAGCTAGTGAGCAGCAAAGAAAGACTTGAACTTAATCTGCCCACCTTCAAAAACTGTAATCACAAAATTTTGATGCCAACTGGTAAACACGATGGGGGGCTGGGAAGCCTGGAAATGAAAGTCATCATCTTTATGATGCTGCCTTTTCTCTCTCTCATCCTGACAGGATCACAACCACAGCTGCATGTATGATGGATCTACGAAGATATCCTCTGGATGAGCAAAACTGCACTCTGGAGATTGAAAGTTGTGAGTTACCTGGACAGGGGAATGAGAAAGAGGGATGTTTGCTTGACCCAATTAAATTCAACCTTGCCCTGAGTAATTGGAACTGGGATACTTTTAGCTACACTTTCCTGCCAATTTTTCAAGAGATTCACAGTCCAGTGACATTTCCCTCATATTGGTGGCTCAAGGGTCATTTCAATGCAGTTATATACTTTTGAACCATTAGAGAAAGCCCACTTACTTTGGCTGGACAATTTATGAACTCATGCTTTCTCCTTAGGGTAGAGTTTCTCCCAAAGCCTTCTAATCCCCAAGCTGCATTAATAAGAGAGGCAAAACATTTTAACATGAAAAGACCTTGTGAGATTGTTTTCGGTTCTGTAGTCTATACATGTGAATGACTGAAAATTGTTGTCTTTTAGAACAACACTATGTTAGAGTCTTGTGCACATTTGGCTTTCTTCATGGGAAGAACAGGATGATAGTAGTCATGAGGCTTGTGCTCTGGGCCAAAGAGTTGATATTTTTCAAGTCTAGTAACTGATTTTGTTTGTCTTCTGGGATTGTGTTGCATTGATTGCTTTCTTGACAATTAGAATATCTTAGTCACTAATATTTAATCTGATTGACTCTGTTTCATAGTTTCTCAGCCATCAACATGCAGGCAGTTGAGCCTGTTTATTGTGAATACCAGACCAAGGTGATTTCCTGGTTTTTAGAGGCACAGAAGGGTGCAGGAGGTAATTCAGAGCATTCTAAAACTGCTTAATGTAATGTGAGAAATAGAGAGCTATTTATTTAGATAACCTAAAATACTCCCAGATCTAGATATCAAAATACCAAAGGAACATTCCAGATGACCCTATAGTATTATTAAAGAGCAAATGTATTCACCAGTGTCTGATTATTAAGCAATTACATTAGTTTTCTAGTTTGTTGTATATAGGCTTGGAAATAAATAAAAATGCTTATGCAGATATAGCTATATATTTAGACATGCACATTGATCTACTACCACTAGAACCTGGAATGAACAAGAACATTCATGAGTTATTCCTTAATTAATATTCTAATTTTAAAATACAATGTATAAATAAGTTCAAGAATGTTAATATATAAAAGTATTGATGGTGACTTTGGTTTAAATGCCAATGACAACCAAAATTAAACCATAGAAATGAATTATGAACCCAACTGTTTATTAATGGCTAATGATGTTTTATAAATAAGGCTGAACTTTAGCTAAGCAAGTAAACCTTAGCTTTTAGAACTGATATGGAAAGAGCAGGATGAATAGCTTATTCGTATGGGTTGGCTTTTACCCTTGACCTCTCTTCCGTTGATTCTACTGATTTGTTATCTTTGCTTCTATGCTGGCATTAAGGTATGACAACCTCTTGAAATCACAAGATCTTCTGGTTTACACCATTCATTTAAAGAAGCAATGAATTTTGACAAGTATTTGAATTGTTTCTGTGTTATAAATTGCAAGTCCTGAAATTAGCAGCATTTTTCTCACAAAATATATATTTTATAATTCACATCAAGTTTGTCTGTGATCATAGGTTTATACTCCTCTTTAAGCAGAGATTCTCTTTGTTCATATTTAGAAAATATATGACTTTTAGGTCCGTTTATCATACCATATAATGACCCAAACAAAAACTGTAAATGAGGTATAAATTAAACACAATTTTTGTGGGACAGGTATGGGGGGAAGCCCAAGCATCCTGATAGTCCAAAGTTATCATAAAATATGATATCAGGCAATAGGTGGTGACCCAAGTATATCAAAATCATTGAGGCATTCAGTAAAATACAACCAGATGTCTGGACAGATGGAAGGCCTAGTAGCTAGGACCCTAAAATCAGCTAATATGTATGGATGCAGGAAGATGGTAACCATCATCAAAATGATCCAATAGCAGTTCACAGAAATCTGGTCCCTAAAGGTATTTACCTAAAGCAAAGCAAAAACTCAAGCCGGAAGAATTTGTGCAGTGAGGAGTCTATGAAGGTAGGAACATGGGAGAAAGGGGACAGGAGCAGGAATGGAACTGTCTTCGACTCACCAAACAACACCTCTGTAACATAAGTATTTCTAATAACATTTGAGAGTATGTATCTGAGGCTCAGAAAAGTAAAATAATTAACCCAGAACCACAGGCAAGGAAAGTGGTAAAGAGGATTCAAACCCAGGTAATGTACTTTCCTTCACAGAATCCTCCAATCAATAGGTGAGCAAAGAAGCAAAGAGCACCCATCATTAGGGGTGTAACACCTAATAAAAAAAATAAAGAAAAAAAAGGGGTGCCTGGGTGACACAGTCGGTAGAGGGCCCAACTCTTGATTTCAGCTCAGGTCATGACCCCAGGGTTACAGGATCGAGCCCTGCTTCGGCTCCTCACTGAACATGGATCCCGTTTATGATTCTCTCTCTCCTCCTGCCTCCGCCCCCTCTCATGTGCACACTCTCTCTCTTTCTCTCTCTAGAATTAAAAAAAAAAAAGTTAAAAAAAAAAGTATAACACCAATTGGAATCACTCTCAGCTGGGTTAAGATTGCTGAGTCAACCAAAGACTCATCTTTATTTCCTAAAATTATCCCTGATAAAGGTTAGAATAGATCTCAGAAGCTGAAGCAAAATTTTGCATTTAGGTCAAAGGTCAAATGATTGCAACTGTGGAAAGAGAGGATAGTCTGTGGAGGCAGGAAACTGAGTAGTCCTTGATTCCATTGACGTTAACCTAAAAAAAAAATTAAAAGCCTCAACATTGCTTACTAAATCAACATTATTTTACTTAAAAATGTGTCCCTTTTAAACAAGAGATTAATCAGTGTAAAGAGATTTTAAATCTTTTTTTGTTAATTTTTTTTTAATGTTTATTCATTTTTGAGAGACAGAGAGAGACAGAGCATGAGCTGGAAAGGGGAAGAGAGAGAGAGACAGAATCTGAAGCAGGCTCCAGGCTCTGAGCTGTTAGCACAGAGCCCAACGCAGGGCTTGGACTCTCGAACTGCGAGATCATGACCTGAGCTGAAGTCAGATGCTCAATCAACTGAGCCACCACGCACCTGAGATTTTAAATCTTTTTTATTTTTTTACATTTATTTATTGTTGAGAGACAGAGAGAGACAAAGCATGAGCAGGAGAGGGGCAGAGAGAGAGGGAGACACAGAATCCAAAGCAGGCTCCAGGCTCTGTGTCAGCACAGAGCCCGATGGGGGGCTCGAACTCAGAACCATGAGATCATGACCTGAGCCGAAGTCGGACGCTCAGCTGACTGAGCCACCCAGGCGCCCCTCGAGATTTTAAATCTTAAGAGTAAAAACTTCAAGTAACTAAGTAACATATGGCAATAATATGGACTTTGAATGAGCTTTGCTTGTTCTTGCCTAAGTACATAATCGATGTGTTGCTAAGTATCAATAAATACTGAATCTGTCAGTCATCTATTTTTTAACTCTACATGGAGAGACATGTGTTGCATTATTTGCTGAAACAGCTCTCCCTGAACTGACAATTTATGAAGTCTATAACTGAGCTTTAAAGTGATTATAAATGAGAAGCTCCAGTATTAGTTGGGAGATAAGAATGATAAAGTAGAGATTCTGCCAAAGTAAGATTGCACCAATCACACTTTTGTGACCAGTGGAGTAGAAACTTTACCTACCTTACAAAATTTACTGGCTTATGTTCTCTCCCATCACAGTCCCAAGGATGGGGTAATGTTTTCCTTGGTTAGGTCCTCTGAGACAAATTAAAGATGTTTTGCTTCACTTTAATGTCATCTAGTCAAGTAAAATTGGAAAGGCCATAAAGCCTTATTAAATTGAAAATTTACTTGAACTTGGAGCACATTAATAGCTTCTTGGCCCTGGGATGCTATAAAATGAGTTAATGGCACATAGAAAATTCAATCAAGGAGTTTAGTATTAAGAGCGCTTGGAATTTGAAATCAATAAAGCTATCATGTGAAGGCTTGATAGCCACAAGCTTCATAAAGATACGAAAAGGGTTTGGGGTAACAGTCATGGAGGTTTCAGGTGTCTTTTCCCATTCCCAGAAGCAACAATTGAGGAAAATCTCCATCCTAATCTTACCCTCTGACTACCAGCAGATAGTGTCACCTCTCGCTATACCCCAAAAAGTAGAAGCCATTTCAGGCCTGGAATCTCTCAGTGGTCTGATCATTATGTCTTCATCATTCTGACTTAGCCCCCTGTATTTCAAAGGAAGAGATGCTTCTATTCCTTGAATACACTGACCTGATCCCAGTGTTCGGGATTCCATCGCTTTCTCCTCTAATTGATTTTCCCAAGTTAACACACACCTCTACCCCTGATTTCCTAGATCCTCAATCTCACCCAGTCTGCTATCTCTCTTCACAGCCTAAAAACTAGCTGAAAACTCTTCTTATCATAAACATCTCTACTCTATGCCCACATCTCTCCTTTTTTTTTTTAAATTTTTTTTTTCAACGTTTATTTATTTTTGGGACAGAGAGAGACAGAGCATGAACGGGGGAGGGGCAGAGAGAGAGGGAGACACAGAATCGGAAACAGGCTCCAGGTTCTGAGCCATCAGCCCAGAGCCCGACGCGGGGCTCGAACTCACGGACCGCGAGATCGTGACCTGGCTGAAGTCGGACGCTTAACCGACTGCGCCACCCAGGCGCCCCAGTCCTTAAACGTTTCCTAATCTCTCTGCTTTCTATTTCTACAAACTGCTCAAAAGATTGGTTTATATTTCTTGTCTATTGTCTCAACTTCTTAACCTACTGTAATCTGGCCACCCAACTCCCACCTTCACTGACAATGTTTTCAGAAAGGTTACAATCTCTTTACATACCATCTTTATTCCAATGATCCCCAAAGTTATAACTCCAGCTCAGATCTCTTCAAGGTCCCAGATTGATACATAGCACTGTTCTTGACATATCTATTTTGGTGTTGCAAAGACATCTTAAATTGAATTTGCTCAAAACTTATCAATTTTTCCCTCCCAGATGAGTTTCCTT